AAGGACAATTATAATGATTAAACTTAAAGTCCCCCTGTAGTCAATAGTTTTATGCCTTAAAACAGCTTGAATCTACACCCTTGACATTTAATATATGCGGTTATATGAATATGCAAACTCGGGGCTAGTTTGCATATTCATATAACCGCATATACTAAATGCACTCATTACTCCTCCACTCACTTGCAGTCATTGACTTGATTGGTTAGAAGGTAGTTTGTGACGTCAGAAACACCAGTCATTTCAAACAGTGTTTTTGAGACTGTCTTTGCTTTGGTTCACTGCAGTTTTAAGGAGAAAAATACTCAGCAATGGTGTTGACTTATTAATTTGTACATGGTTTGTCTTAAACCATATTAAAAACCCCACATAGACAAACAACATTAAAAACTTTCACCACACCGGGGACTTTAAACTGAAATGAAAAATTAAGAAGTAAATACAAAAAAAACAAACAAACAAACAAAAGATAAATACTAAAATAGAATATACATGCCCATTTTCACAGAGAAGGCTTAGAGGGATAGTTCAAATTGTCATCATTTATGGTATCCATTGACTTCTATAGTAGGAAAAAACTACTATGGATGTCAATGGCTACCATCAACTCTTTGGTTACCATTCTTTAATATATGATTTTATGTTCAATAGAAGAAAGAAACTCCAACAGGTTTTGAACAACGTGAGAAAATGATGACAGAAATGTTCATTTTTGGGTGAACTACTCCTTTAAGTCTAGACCCAGGCCAAAATGCATGTTTGAGCCTATTTAATGCAGGTCCTGATTTTCAATTTGGAAATGGGAAGGGTGGGTGTCATTTGAGGGGGGAGTTACATTTCTCTCACCTAAATCTATGCTCACTATGTATTTGTGTGTTTAATGGGGTCATTTTGATGTGTTTGGGCTTACACCTATTTTACAGTCTATGGTTTACACACAGCACAAGGAAGCTTGATTTCAACCTTGAAAACAGAATGCGAAAAATTACTAAATTAACTAATAAATTGTGTGGATTAATTTGCATATTCATCCACAAAACTAATTGATAAATTGTTGTGCATATTTCCCACCTTATAAGTGTGACACCTGCGGGAACAAATAAAATTATGCTCAATACCAATAATCCCGTGCCAAAATTCAAGCCCTCATTGATGCATCTTAAAATATATCAGGGCCATTGTTTTGTCTCAAGAGACACACCAGTAATGTTTTTTTGAAGGCACATTTATAAAAGCTACTTAAATGCCCTAATTTACCAAAGGCCTTATCCTTGCTTAACCCGAGCCAGACTGTGAAATCGGGTCATATAATAATAAACATGGTAACAAGTAGCGTAATGTCAATTATCACAAAAGAAACACTTTTAGGATGATTTGAACAGTTAAAAAAATTTTTTAAAAATAAAACTATTTTCTTTTACCTTCAGCGCAAAGCCCAAGGGAAGAAAGAACAGCTCTTTCTGGTAAATGAAATTCACCATCACTGTTCCATTTTCCAGGTAGTGTAGATTCATATTGATGGCTGTGTGTTCTTCCTTTACACAGTGCATTGAAATACCTGCAAACAGTTAATACTGAAGTCAATCTGTGTATTTCAAAAATCCTATTTCAATGATTCATTGTGAAAAAGATAAAGCACACACCGTACTGAGTGTAGCCCTGTCCTCTGCTCTTAAACTTTGGTCTTGATATAGCGATGGGATAGTTCCTCCTCGGCATGATCAGAAGACGAATCACCTTCTCTATGCCATTCACCACAAAATAACCACCCATTTCCTGCCGGTAAAACAAGACTAAGTGTTTTTTTTTTTTTATCCAAAAGACAACAGTATGATGGTGGCGTTACATGCAGTTGTGTGACGTGTGATTTATACCTCAGCTTCTTCGTGATGCTTGATGAGTTCTTTGGGTGAGAGACCGTGAAGGTTGCAGAGTTTCGATTTGACCATGATCGGCACCTGTCCCAAAGACTGTTTGATGATTCCTTTGGGAATGCCATCCACAGACCAGCTCACATCAGCCTATGAAATCATAAAACACTGAGATCAGCGGTCGTCAACTGGCTTGGCTCCAGGACCCAAGACTGGATATCAAGCAGTGACCTAACTAGTCTCAGCCTTAGAAATAACTGTTGGCTGAACGTCTGATTGCATTGGTTGAATACTACAAACAAGATTTCCAGGATTTAACTGTCCACCTGGAAGCAAAACCGATGTGATGCTGATTGTAGAGGAACCGGAAGACAATACAATGCTGAATAAAGTCGTAGTTTTTTGTTATTTTTGGACCGAAATGTATTTACAATGCTTCAAATCATTCTAACTAACCCACTGATGTCACATGGACTAACTTTGATGATGTCTTTATTACCTTTCTGGACATGGACAATATACCGTGTATACATTTTCAATGGAGGAACAGAAAGCTCTCGGACTAAATCTAAAATATCTTAAACTGTGTTCCCGAAGATGAACGGAGGTCTTACGGGCTTGGAACGACATAAGGACGACATTAAATGTAAGAAATGTACTAGCCAATGGTGATTCAAGTCAAGGTGTCAAGTCTAGATTTGTGATTATTTGTCTGTGGTGTTACTGGGTTTCATGGTAACGCCACATGATTCCACAGAAAATATTTTCTCATTATCATTTCATTTTAGCACCTTTGCCAGGTATGGAAAATTATCTGCTGTGTTGCTATAGACAGCATAGAGATGCAGTCGACTTTGTTGCAAGTCTACAGTTTATTCAATCTGTGGTGTTACTTTTATATGTTTCTGCCATTCTAGTCCCCTCAGTGATTCCCTTGATCTGAGCGGTAGAAGACTTGGCTACTTTTCCAAAGTTTGCCTCCTGAACACACACACTTTTTTGACTGAATTCTACGATGTTAAGTGGGTGAAAAAAAAACCCCCAACTCTTCAATCTTGTATTTGGGTAAAAAATGGGCACCCATAGAAATGAATGGGAGCATTCTCAAATAAGCCAAAAAAAAGACACCAGGTGACAGCAAAGTCACTTCATCTTTAGGTTTTAGCTCTAAGAACTTATTGGAATGATTTTTTTTTTTAATGTAGCTAAAAAAAATTAAAAAATAAAACATAAAAATGAATAGGCATAATTTACATAGAAAATATGGTACTTTTTGAAGTAAATAAATTCAAAAATACTTCCAAAAAAAAAAACAACACCATAAATGGATAGACAAAACTTTATCGAAGACAGTGATATAATATTTATAATAAATAAAAATTAGGATCACACCTGAGTCCTCTGTGCCCACATTTGTCCACAATTACAAGATTAAGGGCTATAAAGTGAATACTTTTGAGGGTTTGAGGGTTAAAGGGTCCTAGATGAAAAATTAAACACTTTTATATTTATATACTTCTTATATACTGCATGATATTATTGCGATACTCCAAGACATAAAAAAAAAACAATTAATTAAAATGCTAAATATGATATTACATTGTGGGGGTAAACAAATAGGTTTAGACTTGATTCTGGTAACCAGATTAAAAACATTCATAATTTTGAAGCTAAAATATATAATTATTTTAAAGGAATATGCTTGCATTTTGTCACTAAGTTAGACATTTTTAAAATAATGTAGGCCACTTTTTACTGGTAACATAAGACATTTGGCATTAGGACCCACAAATAATCCTCTATTGCATTAAACATTATATGTAGTAGTTTAATGTAGTAGGCTACTTACATTAAAACTTGTTATATACTATACCACAATACATATTGTTGCATTGCGATATATTGTTACACACACACTAGAAAAACAGCAGGTGATCTGCCAATATGACAATCAATTCACCATATTTAACCCTCATGCTGCTTACCACCAGCTTCCCCCTGTATGTACAGCGCCTGCCTCTGCACTCGGCAGGGAACATCCGCAGATCTCGGCTGATTCCTCCTTTAGGAACCGCTGGCGTATGAATGATGGCCTCCACAAAAGACAGGCTGACTCTGTTTCCCTTGTACAAGAACTCCAAAGGAGGAATGGCCTAAACACAAACATATTTTTACCTGTATAGCCAGCACGTGCATGTAAGTGCCTAGAGAATAAGCATGCGTGTCTGCCCCTCACCTCCACAACCCGACATAATCCATCAGTAACTGCCTGATCAAATGACTCAATGTGCGCCTTCACCAGCTCTTGCACAGGAACGTGCTGCTTGTCTTTCGGGACTCCGAACCCTGCCTCTGTCAAATTCTTTAAACTCGGTTCGGACTTTAGATTACACCACTTTGAGAGATCCATATTGCTGCGCACACACGTGTGTGCTTGTAGAGCGCATAACTTCCTTTTACACGATTTCAAAATAAGAGTATTTACTTAAATATATTTACATATTTCTTAATATAATATATATTAAAACATATTAGGATCAGAGGATTAAAATGTAATTATTAAAATTAAATTAATATATATATATATATATAATTGAATTTAATTTTATTATTTAATTTTAATCCCCTGATCCTATTTTTTTTTTTTCCCGATATTACTTATTCTGAATTCTCGATATCCTAATGCAATTCTTCCTTAAAACTGATCTCCTTCCTTCTCTTTCAAATGCAGTACACAACAGCATCAAACATCATACCGGTGTTTTGTTTCCTTATAATGTGTAATGTGTTATTAAGAGTATTTTATAATAAATTGTTTAACCATAAATATGATATTATAAATAGTATACTTTTTCAGAGCTTTGGTTTTAAAAACAATCAATTTTCATACTATGAAAATACTGGCATTATTTTATATAGAACACGAAAGAAAACCGTAAAAATAAAATATTGTAAAATATTAAATATATAAAATATAATATATAATACAATATTGTATCACACTTGTTATTCCTTAAGATCACAGATACTTTTCTTTTGGAATGAGGGTCGTTTTCAACGCACACGTGCTCGAACTGAAGGGGATGTCAAAGTAAAAGTCCTACTTGTGCGCAGTAACTCACATTTTGCGTAAAATACAGCGCTCAGTTCAGCTTATTGAAGTCACCACTTGGCCTCGAGGACGCTTGAAGATCTTTAAATAATGAGCAAACAACAGTAATAATAAATAATACAAACAGTAATAATTAAACATGAGCGCGTTAATCTCCTCCCATAAAGGTAAAGATAGTATTGAAGGTGTTGTAGAAGTGTTTTAGAAATGTCCTATTTTGCTCATGCTGTGTGTGTTTGTTGATGTTCGGTATTTAGCAGGAAAGAAACTAAAGTTAATGGAATAAACGGGCATTTTCAAGATGTGATTCACAAACACATTACATGAAGTTGTTTAAATGAGCGTCTCTGAAAATGTTTGCTGTGTTCGTTTCGGGTTTTGGATTTGGTTACTATGACTATTTATTTAAAACAGATTCATTAGATTTGTCATTGTGATGTTATTGGAGTCACAGAACAACGTACACTATTTAGTAGCAATTTTATGTAAGTTTAAGTAACAATATTAATATTTTCATTGGACTAAAAGGCTTGTAGAATCTGTGGATTTCTTTATTGCCTACGTTTTATATGATTAATGTAAGTAGCAATATGTATTAATTATAACATATTTTAAGTATTTGGACATATTTGTAACATTATTATTATTATTATTATTATTCTTCAATCTTATGTAAGCATAATCACAGTAGAATATATGGTAAGATCTGTTAATTCTGTCCTCTTCTAGCTGAGATCATCACTGCAGCGTCTGTGACGTTTGGAGCTGCAGCAGTGGGAATCCTCATCTACCAAACATTTTTCAACAAAAGCAAATGTGTGAAACCTAAAGTGAACCTTGATCTGCAAAAAGACAACCCCAAAGTGGTGCATGCGTTTGACATTGAGGACCTGGGCGACAAAGCCGTGTACTGTCGGTGCTGGAGATCCAAAAAGGTGAGAACGAACTTAAGTAAAACTTATGACAAACTTTGAACCATTGACTGTCAAAACAGAGAAACAGTAGAATCAGAAATGTGAGTGTTGAGGCCCATTTTCAAAAGCAATTTCCTCCTGGAGAAACTGAAATTATATGTCACTTGCTGATGCCATCTGAAACCTACTTTCATGAAATTAGGAGAAATGTTTATTATGTATAATACATGTACACCTGGGTTCAAGGAGGTGTTGATCTTGAACCTGTCCGTTAGCATTCCCATTTCCATCATGCGTGGGGCGGGGCGGGTCCAACTGCCTGCAACAGGTCACTTGCAATCTGTCATTGTCTTTATTTATGTGAACTAGGTTCCTGAATCCATTTTTTTTTTTTTTTTTTTTTTTTTTTTTTTGGTCAGTCTCCTGAATATTACATTTTTAAATTCCACAAGCTCATTATTCTGGAGCCACAGGAACATCGAAGGCAGCAGGGGGGAAAACAGGGGAAAAATTTGTGTTTAAAAAATACTCTGTTTTATATAAATATGTACTGTTGATTAAAATGCTAAATTTGATATTATATTGTAGGTGTAAATGAATAGGTTTGGACATTGGGTGCTGGTAACCCAATGCACATGACAATGGTAGTACCAGATTAAAAAATATTCATAATTCTGAAGCTGAATATAGAATTGTTTTAGATGAAAATATGATATTATCGCAATATTATTATATTTTAGATATTTTATGCTTGCACTCTGTCATACTAGATATATTTAAAATAATGTAGGCCACTTTTTACTGGTAACAAGACGTTTGCCATTATCAGGACCCACAAATATTCCCATATTGCATGATTTTACATTATATTCAACATTATAAAGTTCAATGTAGTACTGACACTAAAACTAAAAACTTTTTTCTCACAGATACACAAAATACAACTATACACAATAAATACTATCACTATCCATGATACATATTGTTGCATTTTTGTATTGCTACACCCCTAGTCGCTTCACCTCCATTCACAAATCTTCTCTTGTAGGATAGTAAAGTGTCCAGAATCAGTAAAGTGACTTCAGAATCTCGCCAGAAGTGCTCGGACCTTTTGCCTACTGTTTATCCAATATGTATTCGCACATACTACTCTTTTGGCATACCATTTTCCATATGCTTTATAGTAGGGATACTATAGGGATACAGAATCAGTGTTTTAAGATGCACGCTTTTGACTGCACATGCGCATTGGCCAGTCTAGCCTGAAAAATAAGCTTTTTTAATGTTACATGAGCATAAGAAACAACATTTATGAGCCTGTTGTCAGATGAAATTTAATTAAGCTTGGTGATCAACTTTGGAGAATTTGATGTTTCCCCATTTAAAGAGACAGGAGCTTTACTTGTATGACTGAAATAACTGGCATCAAAAACAGCGGTTCTTATTGAACATTTCCCAAGATAAGAGATTTGTCAATGATGCTCAGGTACAGTTGCGCTCCAAATCGTCCGCCATCATCTTATCGGTTATCTCACTTTTGGTTTATAATTGTCCTGTCCGTTGGTTAACTAAACGAAATGGTTTTTGCCTATGATAAGAAAGGCAAAACGACAGTGGGGACAATGATGCGGTGGCCAAGTAATGTCATCAGTGTATGGCCGAACACCGCGTAACACCGGTAACAGACTAAGGCGACGAGCCTAGTGGTGATGGTCACATTTTGGTCACACGAGTCTTGAGATTCAGTGACATCAAACTTGTCATACCACATCTGTAATGAAATGTTTTCTCTGGTCTCTTTCTTACAGTTTCCATACTGTGATGGCGCACATGCGAAACACAATCAGGAAACGGGAGACAACGTTGGTCCTCTGATCATAAAACGCAAGGAGGCCTGAGCTATTCCACTGTTCATCAAAGTCCATTCTCCGCGATAGAGATTATGTGTCTTCGCTTTACGTGTGTGGTCGGGGCTGCTGGGATTAAAAGAGTGATTATATTATCCCGTGTTTGTGTGTTTAATCATATAGTGTATGTTTGACAGGTTCCAGTGATCTGCTTTCTGGGGTTGTTGTTTAGCAATACATAATATTTTCATATCTATTTTCTCTTTTTATCTGCTTAGACTTTATGGGACGACTGATGTACAGATTTCTGGCTTAGCCAAAATCTCCTAAACATGTTTATGTGCTTGAACAATGGTCACGTTACTGTAGATGCACTACAGATTAAAACTTGAATTAAAACACATTAGTCTGAGTTTGAACTGAATCTTTGTTTGTTATGAATGTGATTCATATGAATGTGAAATGTGTATGGAAACCAAATGGCCACCTTCTCATTTGCTTTTTGTGTGTGTTGCCTGTTAAACTTCACATGATGTGACCTTAACTGTTCACTGATATTTAATGTATTTAAAGAGACACTTCCATCTAATCTCTCTATTTTTGAATCAGATGTCGTTGAATCTGATAGGTACTGTATGTCATTTAACATCTAATTTGGTAGGCTATATTTGCCTCTGCTTTTGGAAAGGCTAAATATATTTCTATAGCAGAAGAGAAAATGTTATATGAAGCAAAATCATGTTTTGATGAACGTATTCTGTGAAATTGTATCTCTCTCTCTCTCTCTCTCTCAGAAATGTACACTTCACAAGTTTGATGTTTAATAAACAATGTCAAACTGACTTTCTGTTTTGTTTTTTTGTTTTTTAATTAAACATTTCTAGATAGAGTTTATCACTTGAATAAAATGCAATTATTGCTGATCAACAACTTAAAGCAATTGAAAGCCATTGCATTCTTTTAACCTTCAAATGGTCTTCGTTTCCTGTTTATACTTCTGGGCTTCGGGGTCTATACGACCCCAACAATTGAGTAATTTTAAATTGTAAAATATATATTTTTAATTATACAAATAATATATAATTTTTTTGTTTACTTCTCATCTATTCATTAATGCTGTGTTTTTGGAGATATAAAGTACTTTTGTATCCATGATATACCACACACAATTCCTCAACTACACTATTAGCTTGCATATGAAATATTTTTATTTTATTTTTATGAAACATTGCATTTATGCTCTAGTACTAGGCCTTCATTTCTGTGTAAAAAAAAAAAAAAAAAATCAGATTTATGCCGGATTTTTTTTTTTTTTTTTCACATTTCCCATTCATTTCAAAGTGGGGTTATATTAACCCCGAAGACCAGAAGTGTAAACATTTTTTTAACATATATACCTTCAGAACAACCGAATCAAGCCCAGTTTTTGTGTGTGTATAACGTTAGATAGATAATGAATGAAAAGTCACAAAATCTTATTCCACTGAGATGAGGGGAACCTTTTTTATTATTAAGTAAAAGTCGATTGGGGCCCTATAGACCCCATGACCCGATTGAGGGATAAATCCCCTCTTTAGATGCGGATTTGATCTTTAAATAAAGAGTTTGAAGTGTGAATTAAATAGCGCGGACGGGACGCTAGAACGCAACCTGTGAGAACGCCGACTTTGATTGGTGGACTGCGTGCTGACGTCATGTCCCCTCAGGAACCAGAACGCAACCTGTGAGTACGCCAACGTTGATTGGTGGACTGCGTGCTCACGTCGCGACTCATTCAACAACCCGAACGACGCGTCGCGCTCCGGTAGTGTAGATAAAAACTAAAGACGAGTGAATGAACGAAAACATTCGGGGCTCCAGACGCCTATCTGGTCAAATGAAAGAGACGTTTTGTTTTTTAATTAATAGAAAAACTGTCAGATATGGAAAATCATTTACAGAAGTTTTTCCAGTATCCGTTCAACTTGGATAAGTTCACGCTGAACGTGTCTGCAGAAGGTCAAATCATGGACTCATCAGCTCGAACGCTGGAAAAACTGGAAAAAGACAATAAAAAGAAAGAGTCAGTAAAACAGGTGTTCTTGGATGGATGCGTGCCCTTTTCTCATCAGGTGGCCGGGCATAAATGGGGGATCAATAACACTGGTCAGTTTATTCTTAACTTCTGTAAAGAGTTTTAGTCATGTTTCTTAGAAATGCTGTATTTGTTTTAGGTTCTAGGGATTGATGAAATAATGTGAATATCAGAGTCTTAAGTTGTTTGATATTTGGACTAGGACTGTTGGATTTCATCATATAGGCTTAGTGACTGTTTGGATTGGATTATGAACACCCATTATCAAAAAGTTTTTTTACAGGACCTACTACTATTGTATCAAACCAATTTTATAATTGTATAAACCAATCCTATAATAAACAAATGGTATTCTAATGGATCAATTGTAATTCCTACATTAGTCTTTTGTGGAATAATGTTGGAATAATAAAGGAAACCACAGATTGGTCTAGGAATTTTCCAGTCCTAAAAGATTTTCTTTAAATTACTTTCCTAATGATATATAGGACTTTTTAGAATCTTGTAGGACTGTTGTTATAAATTATGATGTAAATTCATAGGAATCATATACATGTACATACATGTACACCTGTGGAGGACTTTGCACAGGTTTTCCTAACATAGTCGGTTGAGTAATATGCGATAAAAGTATTAGATAACTAATTCTAGTTTATTAAAGGGTCACAGGATTTGTCACATTTGCTTAACATGGGATATTGTCATGGTGATTGCTATGAAAAGAAACAATTACCTTCTCTCTGTCAACAGTCAGATGACATCATTTCCTCTGTTGTAGTAACTCTTATGGCTCTGTCATGGGGATTTTCTGAGTGAATGAGACGTGAGCTGTTATCTGATGTATTGTCAGATTGCCAGTGGTCAGCACTTTGTCTTTTCTTGTGTTAAAGGAATAGTGTCACCCCAAAATGACAATTCTGTATCACCTACCATCATTTTCCAATATTGAAAGTGAATATTGGAGAACTTTCGATTAAAAATATATAGGCATTTTTTATTACAAAATAAAAGTTAAATTTATCAAAGAATCCTGATTTTTTTTTTTATTAGGTTTCCACAAAATGTTTAATCAGCATAACTGTTTTCAACATGGATAACAATAAGATATGTTTCTTGAATCTTGAGCACCAAATCAACATATAGTAATTATTTCTGATCATGTGCCACTGAGGACTGGAGTAACGATGCTGAAAAATCGGTCCTTCCGTGACTGGAATAAACACAATTTTCAAATATATTAAAATAGAAAACAGTTATTTTAAATTATAACAATATTTCATAGTATTATGTTTTTATTGTATTTTAATAAAATTAATGCAGCATTGGTGAGATAATATAATTAGTTTGGTCACTCCAAAACCATTTAGGCCCGAAACCGAAAATAGCTGTTTCCACTGAAACTTTTTGGTCGTCCCTAACTTTTACACATGCGTTTTCTTTCTCAACTGTTTACGTTCACTTAGAATAAAACCAACTGTGTTTATTTTGGATATTTTTGACATCATTTAGTTGTATTTGTGTGTTCAAATGCAAGAAGACGTGTACGAAAACAAAGAAAACAGCACACGGAGCAAGTGCCGAAATGAGTTCTCTTCCACGTCTTCTTGCTTGAAAATGGTTTCTATAAAATGTGCACAGAGGAATCGATAAGCATAATTGAAATTTCAATTTCATTACAAGTATCCGATGCCTAACCTTGAGTATCTGATTTTAGAATTGGAATCGATTTTTGATACCAAATCCTAGTTCAAAAATCAAAAAAAAAAAAAAAAAAAATTCACTTATCAGCTGCAACTTCCTGTCACCCTGTTAGGTAGCCTATTAAACCCTAAATTTGTTGGCATTTAATATAGCTAATATTCTAATAGTGTCATGTATGTGGCTTTATTCTCTCCTAATTTTTGCCTTCAGATGTTTTCCCGGCTGCCATAAAAGCATTCACACTCAAAATAGTCAGAAGTTGTCATGATGATAAAGTGCCGACAGGTTTTCAGTGTTTGGTTCACTATAATTGCACAGGTGTTCTACAGCATCCTGATGGAACAATTCTGAAGCAGCTACAACCTCCTCCGAGAGGCCCACGGGAGATGCACTTCTATACACAGGTAATTTAAATCCACAGTCCAATATCTATACAGCAGCGACAGTTGCTAATAATGTCAGGGGGCCAAAATAACACCCTAAATACTAGAAAAGACTCCTGACTGCCAAGCACAATACAGTAAATAACACGTTTCATACTGTCCCGAAGGTCAGAATGATTTTTAAAAAAGATATTAATACTTTTATTTAGGGTTGTCTCTAAGAAAGTAATCAAGTTATAGGTCGATTATTTTGACAATTGGATTTTTTTTGTTTTTTTTGTGTGGTAATATAAATAGACTAACAACATGACGAAGAACAATTTGAATATAAACATGCTGATGTATTATCCTGTGTTGGCGTAGGTTTACAGTACAAATCTGGTGAAATGGTGCACGTTGCATTGCCAGATGAATGTTATAAGCAACCCAAACTCACAGCATTTGCTGGAGTCTGTTAGCCGAGCTGCTGAGACATGCTCCACACATGTATATGATAACGGTACAACACTTCAATATGAAACTCAAAGCACACCAGTCTGTATATGCATTCCCAAATGCACGTTTTTGGAAACCCAAACAAACAGCACATGCAGAGACTGGTTTTGTGTTGAGCAGCATTTACTGTGAACGAAGGGGCTCTGAGAAACACATGACCTACATGCATGTAAATAAAAGTGTGGCGCTTCACTCTTAACTCCACAGCACATAAAGGCTACTACGCAGACTTTGTGATGTCACAATAGCACTAAGCCATATTAAGATTTTTAAATGGTTTAAATATATTGTGCAGCCTTATAAAACTTATCATGCGTTTCATGGATTCTCATTCTTGGAATGTGCCACCTCTGGTACTTTGCCAGTACTTTGCCGCCCTATCAACACAGGCAAATCAAGGATGTTTTTTTTTTTTTTTCTTATCAAGTTCTTTAATTTAATTGGGGAATTGTGACAGCCCTATACATTTATAAAGCAAGGATGCATTTAATTGATCAAAAGTTAAGTGAAAACATTTATAATGTTACAAAGGATATCTATTTATTCATCAAAGAAAAAAAATAATATAATAAGAATAATAATAAGAGGTTTTTTGAGCAGGAAATTATCATATCAGAATGATTTCTGAAGGATCATGTGACACTGTAGACTGATGTACGATGATGGAAATTCAGCACTGACATGCTGGAATATATACAGGAATATATATATATATATATATATATATATATATATATATATATATAGTATATTAAAGTTTAAAACCGTAATTTTAAATTGTAATAATATTTCACAATATTACTGTTTTTACTGTATTTTTAATCAAATGAATGCAGCTTTGGTGGGCAAAATAAATGGCTTTTTTTAAAAACATGAACATTTTTACCAGCTAATCTTACCAATTTACTACTAGTTACACTACTGGTTTCAGAGTAAAGGCACATGACACTTTTTTCTTCTGCAGGTATATGCCAAAGACTGCACAGACACAAGACTTCTGGATCTGCAACAACATCTTCCCAGGTTCTACGGCACATGGGCGCCACGGGAGTCGCCACATGGTGAGATAAGTTTTCATGTCAAGATGTGAACATGGAATAAAATCTGCAAACCCATTTTAGTTGCATGATCGCATGTATTTAAGAACAAAATAGGTTATTGAACAGGGATGGAGCAAGTTGTTACGTTTTGATAAGATTATAATGGCATACATTTGTTTTATTTGGAATAATATGCACAGATGAATCATGCACAAGGAACATTGATCAAATGCAAGGTCATATGCAATTTCATGTTGACTTTAAATTACTAATGGCGTGTTGTGTCACACGGTTGAACTCAGCAATCGTGTCCATTAAAATGGTTCCTTTAGCAGTCAAGCTTGAAGGTCAGCTCTAGTTAGTGTTATCTATGTTTGGCGAATTTAGAGGGTTGCTAATGAGTTAATAATTTATAGATGGTTTGGAATGCGGTATATGGGGTGTCATTCAGCAGTGGGTTTTTATTAGCTTATTAAAATGCTCTTATCATCATTTTGCATGTTGCCATGTGTCCAAAGTACATGTGCTTCACAGTGTGTTTGTTTAGTCTGTATGCATGTAGTCTATGGACATTTAAAGGAGTGTTCAGTTTATCATTGGACTTTACACTGCTGTTGCCTCCTTGTGTTTGTGAGTGGCCATCCCAGTGATGACACCATAAATACTGTGTCAGTTGACAGCACTGAAAAAGAACTTGTCAGAAATAATTGACTTCGTGGAGGCTTGGCCTCTGAAAGATCACTTAAAGGTACAGTGTTCAGTGTGATTGTGGAAATCAGTTATGAGCCATTCAGACACAGAAGTAGAATACATTTTTCAATGGTTTTCCTGGACTCAGAAACTCTAGTTGGGCCTGCAGTTTAAATTATATAATAACTAAAATAGCAATAATCATAATTTAAAAAAAATACTTACTTTTATGCTTTTACATTTTTACTTAACATATATTCAAACTTGTTTTTATTTTTTATTTATTTTTTTTAATTTTTTTGAAAAGCCTACTTTTATTCAGCAATGGTGCATTAAATTGATCAAAACTTACAGTAATGACTTTTACATTGTAACAAAATATTTCTGTTTAAAATAAATGCTGTCCGTTTAAACTTTCTATTCATAAAAGAATCATGACATGGTTTCCACAAAAAATGAAGCAGCACAAACTTTTTCTGTATAGAACTGACCAAATAAATGCGGCCTTACTCTGGCTAACATTCTGGTAAGGTTCTCTGAAATTTCTTCCAATAACGTTCGATCAAAGTTATCAGGTCTTTAATAATTTTCATAAAATGTTAGCACAAAACCATAATTATTTTTTTTTAAATGTTACTACTGGTTCTAAAACATTGAAACACAATGTTTTCATAATGTTTGCAAAAATATAAAACAGATTTTTCCCTTTACATTTGTATAATGAAAAAAAAACATTTTTTTTAAACTTTAAAAAAAGTCTCTGGTTATGAATGGAACCCTTGTTCCCTGAGAAGGGAATGAGACACTGAGTTGACTATGACACTTTGGGGAACACCCTCTGCGTAACGCATCTGAAGTATGAATGAAACTAATCCAATCCTGATTGGTGCTGCGTCATGACATAAAGTGTTGGCATACAAGGAAGCTACAAAGGGATGCCGGCACAAAACAGAGTTAGCTTGTGTGATGAAGCAAGTTGCTCCCAGGCAAGTGAAGGCATGACGGAGGGACACAATGTCTTGTTCCCTTCTCAGGGAACAAGGGTTACAGTCGTAACCCGAGACAGGCCACCGAGATAGCCTGAACATCCCAGTTACTGATGGTCTGTTTGGATGCGGGAAGCCCCTTCTTGGGCGACCTGGAGCACTCCAGCAACTGATCTGACTTCCGCCATGAAGAAGACCTATGGACATGTATCTTGAGAACAGGGCAGAGCAAATTAAGTCTTTCTTCATCCACCGTCATGTGAGGTGGAGAATGAAAGCCTGCAGAACCTTAGGCCGTGCCACATTAGATGGCACTTTAGGCACATAGCCCGCCCTGGGATACAAGATAGCTTTAATGTTGCCTGGAGCAAACTTCAGGCACCCATGAGATATAGCGAGTGTCTAAAGGTCTCCTACTCTCCTAAAGCGGTTCGAGGGGAGCCTCCACCAGCCCTTCGAGAACCATTGCCAGGTCCCATGTGGGAACTCTGGTACGAGCTGCAGGTCTCATCCTCCGAGCCCTTCTGAAGAAATGACCAGCTGATGTCTCCACAGAGGCCCATCACCCAGAAGAGCGTGAAAAGCCATAATGGCAGCCACGTACACCTTGAGTGTGGACGGGGTAAGATCAGCCGAGAAGCGATCTTGGAGGAACTGTGAGATGAATGGATGGATAGAGTATGTGGAAGTATGTGTCCTTGAGATCTATCGTGACAAACCAGTCCTCGGATTGAATTTGATTCACGATGGTGAGCAACTCTGAGATGGAAGGATGGATTCAGTATGTGGAAGTATGTGTCCTTGAAATCTATTGTGACAAACCAGTCCTCGGATTGAATTTGATTCACGATGGTGAGCATCTTGAACCTGAACCTGAACCTCCTCAGAGACCGATTCAAGTGCCTAAGATCTAGTATTGGGCACAACCCCCCATCCTTCTTGGGAACTAGAAAACTAGCTGTAAAACCCGGACTCCCTGTCTGGCGGAGGAATACATTCTATAGCCTCCTTTACCAGCCTCCTTTACTTCTTGTTCCAATACCCGGCCCTGCTATAGTTCAACTACAGTCCAGACCACCCCATTGAACTTTGGTGGGTAGAAACTGAACTGCAGTCTGTACCCCAAGGGAACCAGCCTCTCGAGACTGGCTTTTGGTATCGTTCAAAATTCGTCCTCAATCCCCTGAATTGGCTCTCCGGAAGGGTTTGTTCGAAACGATTCTCAATGTGCGGACGCGAGCGCTGCCTGGGCGCAAGCCTGTGGGGCAGACAGAGCAGCATGCGTTCACTGGAAACCGATGTGTCTCGAAGCGCAATTATGGCAGGATATAGAAAAAGATTTCCTGAGGGCTCCCCAGATGGGAGGGTCTTTCGGTTTTATTCTTGACACCCCGAAGCGGAAGACCGGTAGGGAATAATCTAAAACATTTTCCAGCGTGCGGAAGCCCTTGCGGAGGACACTGCAGCGTGCATTCGCTGAAAACCGATGTGTCCCGAAACGCACTTTATGCTGGATACAAACATCGATTTCCCAAGGGCTCCACTGAGGAGAGATTCTCTATCATCCCTCCACGGTGAGGACAGCCTTGCTATTTTCGTCTTGTTTTCGATACCCTGAAACAGAGGACTGACAGAGAAAAATTTAAAACGATTCACGCGGTTCGCTGCTCATCATTTTAAGTCAGAATTACTGTAATTGCAGCCATAAACATTGGATAATGGCAGGCTGAATTAAAATACCTAACTTCTTAAAGTGAGATAATATTCCATCATTTTAATTTCATAGAATTAAATGCAGCCATAATCACCAAACTGTTTTAGTATTTTTACAGTCTCGTAATCTACATGCTGCCTCGGCAAACACGAGAATTGAGCCGTAACAATACTTGGCTTTAATCCCTCGAGAAGAAAGTCAATGGGCGCGAGGCTGAAACACCCGAAAAGGCACGGCTGTGTGCGTCAAGATATTTCTCAATGAACACAGCCAGCACCCTCAGGAGCTGACTGTGCATGCCTTGCAACCATACAGAATCTTTATTGCAGAGTAGACCAAATCTACGCGCTGCCTCAGCAAACGTGAGATCCGAGTCACTATAGATTCTTTATTGCAATGCAGACCTTTAATCTTCCTCGGCAAACGCAAGATCCTAGTCACAGAATCTATATTGCTGAGTAGATCCGTAATCTACACGCTGCCTCGGCAAACGCGACATCCGAGCCACTAAATTCTATATTGCAATTTTTTAGGACAATTCTTATGAGACAAACAACATCAAATAGGACAGGCAGTTTGACACAAAGTGCTTGCTGAAGAGCAAAAAGCTTTTTTTTTGTTGTGTGCCGGCGTCCCTTTGTAGCTTCCTTGTATGCTGTCACGTTACATCATGACGCAGCACCAATCAGGATTGGATTAGTGTCGTAGTCGACACAGTTCAAGTTCCCTCGGCAACTGAACACTCAGAAATAACGTTTTCATAACTTAATGGGAACATTAGCAGAACTTTCTTAGAATATATTTTTATCAGCTTCCTGGGTTCCTTCAGAAACATGAAATAGTCTTATTGCCATTTGTGTATTGAACAAGTCAAGTCACATTTATTTATATAGCGCTTTTTACAATACAGATTGTATCAAAACAGCTTCACATTGATAACATGAAAATAATACAACACAGATCAATAATATTGTTGAATATTAAATGTCCCCAACTAAGCAAGTCAAAAGCAAGGCAACAGTGGCAAGGAACCAAAACTCCATCCGGTGATTGAATGGAGAAAAAAACCTTGAGAGAACCCAAGCTCAGTCGGGGGCCAGTTATCCTCTGGCCAACGAAGGAACAGTGATTACAAAACAAATTGGATCGAAACATTAAGACAATTTGTCCATTTCCATCGAAGTAAGTCGAAGTAATCACGCCGGTTTGGAGACGAGATGTTGAGGATCAGTGATGGCTGTCGTGTCGATGAGGCTGGCACTTAAGGATGAGTCGGGATGGGTCCAGGCGCAGGTCCACCATAGAGGGTCCCTCGGGATAAACAGAGAAACTAATATTAGCGTAGACGCCATCCTTCTTTTGATGTACCAAGTACATCAGGATTTATGGGACGTGTTCCCGGTTCCGGCTGATCTAAACGGATCTAAACAATCCGATCTAAACTGCAGCCTAATTTTGAATTTAGGAAGTCTATAGTGTACAACTCATTTGTCATTTTAAACTGTGTTAGCCATCTTGATGACAGCATAATTTACAACACCAATGTAGAATATTTAGCAGAAAACTTGTCTGCCAGCCATAAGAATTGATGTACTAAAACAACACTGGCTGCCATTCCGTCATCAAATGCACAAAACCGTGTCTTCTTTATCTCTCTTATCTCAGAGCTGTATCTGAAACTGGAGGATGTGACGAAGAGGTTCTTACGGCCCTGCATCATGGATGTGAAGATCGGGAAGAGAAGTTACGACCCGTTTGCATCACTAGAAAAACGTGAAGAGCAGATTAGCAAGTATCCTCTGATGGAAGAGATCGGATTCCTGTTACTGGGAATGAGGGTGAGACAGCATGCGTGTGTGATTTGTTAACTTTCATTATATTCATTATGCAGGCTCCTCTTTTCCCCTGGTTGTTTTATCTCCGTATACTCCCCTTAGTATCTGATTTCCTTATTACAAACTTTGAGAGTTCATAAACACAATATTAAGCTTCAGATCACCTGAGGGCTCTTGGTTCGCTTTCAGTGCTGCAGAACAGAAATCCCTGTCTGCTGTCTTAAGGCATGATCGATATCCAGAGCTTATCCAGACACTAGGTTAATACCCTCTGAGGAATACTGATAAGACATTTGATGATAAGATTTTGATGAAACCAGTGGTCAGTTACACACACTCCTCTGCTTTTGCTTTCTGCACCTCATTGTTCTGCACTGTGAAGAAGGGCACATGAGAAGAGATAGAGAGATCAAATTAATTCCATCATTGAGTCTAAAGATCTTCTGGCCCCAATGCATCTATCATGATACAAACAGTGACATTTTCTGCTCATTGACTGCATTAATTATTTGTGAGTGATTGGCCTTTTATTGGATTATTCTGTCAGGTTTATGTTCTGTTTTATGGACTATTAGGGAATGTTTACAAGACAACAATATACTAAAAACGGAAATGTTTTTCCTTTGCGTTTTTCTTTGTACAGACGACAACATTGTCAAAATGGCCCATGTTCACACGGATCCACAAAAACAATTAAATGCAGTTAGTCGAGTGGTTGGCGATGTCACTTTGTAAAGAAACACTAAGCGCCTATAGACTGAACACGTAATACCAGAGATGGGGAGATATAAATGTCTGTGGCTCTACCATTGGAGAAAGCGTACTAGCTAACTTGGGTCACATGTGACTTGATAACCAATCACATTACAGCCTTGACGTCATTGAATTTCATTCAGAAGTATGCAACAGTCACCGAAAATTAATTAGAAGTGCTGAGAAATTAATGAAATTCTTAAACTGAATCATACCTCTCGCACAATTGTCCATGACTTATAGATAAATTAGATCAATAGATATAGATTAATTAAATAGATACATTTCAAACTGTTTAATAAGAGTAAACAAGATTAGCCGATGGGCTGTCAATTTATTAAATAAGCTATTTCAACACAAAGTGGTTTATTCAGCAGATTGAAGCCTCTCCTCCATTGACATCCATTCAAACAAACAGCTTCTTGTCTCCTTACCTGATACCACAGCTTTAGTAGCGTTAACGTTAGCATTATGCATTTGTTTAATCTTGCAGGCTTGACTTTCAAGTGGCTTTTGGTAATAAGCATTCTCATGACATAACCGTTTTTACAAATTGACTTTTTTGTAGTTTTCACAGATACAATAATGGTATCGTTTTCAAAAACTTGCCATTTGTCATGCAAATGAGTAGCCAAAATGCTTAAAATGTTTGTTTTTTTTTTTTGGTTGAAAGCGGTGTCATGTAAACAGTATCACGTTAGGTAGGTTTTATTAAGTAGGCTATAATCCAAATCGTAGTCATCCAGGCAAGGGTAAAACTCCATATAATCAAACTTAAAATACAAAACAACAAGAAACAAAACAAGAAACAGACTAGAAAGACATACCTCAGAAGTGTAGTGACAACTCTGTGACAAGGACTAAAACAGGCAGGGTATTTATACACAAAACTAAACAATGTAATAAGAAACAGCTGGGTCCCACTTTATATTAAGTGGCCCTAATACCTCTGAACTTACATGGTTACTAGATATGTACTAAGTATGTAAGTACAGTGTAAGTACACATTAGTATTTACAGCTGTAATATTTGTGTAACTACACAAATGTAATAACACACTAAAAGGTATGGGTGAGTACAAATGTGTAACAGGACATTAGTAACAATGCTTTTTTTCACTAGAGTAAGTACACATGTGTAACAGGCACTATGTAACTACATTTTGGAACAACAATGTATTTACACACGTTCTTCCACTTCCACACAGTCTTTAATACTGTAGTTACTAGTTTGGAAGGTACTGAAATCATGATAATTCCTATGTGTATATCATGTATTTATTGTATGACTGGCAGGACTCGTGCTGAATTACAGCTAAAGTTTCCCCTTGTGGTATCAGTGTACTGTACTTACACGGTAACTCCTCAGTAACTCTGCACTTGATAGAATGTGTTAAACAATCATAACTTACTGTGTATAATAAAAACAACCAAACCTCTGTACAACTCTGTATTAACAGTGTACTTACATGGTAACTCCTAAGGAAGTGTCTACTTAACATAAAGTGTAAAAGGGCCATAACTTACTGTCTATAATAAAAACAACCAAACCTCTGTACAACTCTGTAATAACAGTGTACTTACACGGTAACTCCTCAGGAAGTGACTAGTGTAAAACGGCCATAACTTACAGTGTAATATACAAAACCCAAAGCCGTGTGCAACACTCTATTAACAGTGTTACATGGTAACTCCTCAGTAACTCTGCACTTGATACAAAGTGTAAAACGGCCACAACTTACTGTGTATTATACAAAACCCAAACCTCTGTACAACACTGTATTAACAGTCTACTCACGTTGTAACTCCTCAGGAATGGTCCACTTGATGCAGTGTAAAACGGCTTCAACTTAACGAGTAATATAAAAAAAACACAAACCTCTGTGCAACACTGTATTAACAGTGTTACATGGTAACTCCTCAGTAACTCTGCACTTGATGTGTGAAACGGCCACAACTTACGGAATCATCATGATTTCAATGGAGTTTCAGTGCCTATTGAAGACTGTGTGGAAGTGGAAGAACGTGTGTAAATACATTGTTGTTACAAAATGTACTTACATAATGCCTGTTACACATGTGTACTTACCCATACCTTTCAGTGTGTTATTACATATGTGTAGTTACACACATATTACAGCTGTAAATACTATGATACATGTAACCATGTATGATATCTAGTAACCATGTAAGTTCACAGGTATTAGGGCCACTTAATATAAAGTGGGACCGGTTTTATTAAGTAGGCTATAATCCAAATCGTAGTCATCCAGGCAAGGGTAAAAGTCCATATAATCAAACTTCAAATACAAAACAAGAAACAGACTAGAAAGACAGACCTCAGAAGTGTAGTGACAATATGTGACAACTCCGTGACAAGGACTAAAACAGGTATTTATAAACAGAACTAAACAATGTAATAAGAAACAGCTGTGTGCAATGAGTGATGAGAAAAGACAAAGGATCCTGGGAAATGCAGTTCCAGAGTGAATGGTGACAGTATGGGGGAAAAGACCTCTAGTAGACACTCAGGGAAACACAAACCAGACCCTGTGACAAACAGCCCCTAAGTTTGTATCACCTTGATTTCCTGTGTTCTGTTCCGGTTTCCTTTGGCCCCCACATTCCCGCTCTTCATTTCATGTTATCTAATTATGTTGCATACCTGTTACTGGTTAAGTTTGTCAAATTTCAGTCTGGTTTTAGACAATATCACAGTACAGAGTCAGCCTTGCTGAAGGTGTTGAATTATCTATTGCTTGCTGAGGATTTAGGTAACTGTGCAATTTTGTTTCTTTTGGACCTCAGTGCTGCATTCGATACCATTGACCATGCTATCTTGCTGGAACGGTTGAAAAGCTTTGTTGGAATTCAAGGTACCGCATTTAATTGGCTTAAATCGTATCTTTCTGATAGAACATTTTCTGTGGAGGTTGGGAATTTTTCTTCCTCCTCTGCACCATTAACTTGTGGTGTACCTCAGGGGTCTATTTTGGGCCCGCTGTTGTTTTCCTTGTATTTGCTCCCCTTAGGCTCGATCTTTCAAAAGCACGATATTCCATATCACTTTTATGCAGATGATACTCAGGTCTATCTCCCTTTGGAAAATGAGGACAATTATGACATACGGTCTTTGTTGAACTGTCTTGAGGAGGTAAGAGGCTGGCTGGCAGCTAATTTTTTAACACTGAATGATTCTAAAACCGAAATTGTAATTTTTGGCTCACCAGCTTCTACTTTACAGATTGAAAAACAACTGGGTCCTTTAAGAGGGAACTCTTGTGCTCATACTAAGAATTTGGGGGTGATTTTTGTTAACGGCCTTAAATTTGACAAACAAATTAACTCAGTGGTGAAGAGTAGCTTTTATCATTTGAGATCTATTGCGAAATTAAAAGCATTTTTAACAGTAAAAGATTTAGAGATAGTGATCCATGCCTTTATTACATCTAGGCTGGATTATTGTAACTCGCTGTACCTTGGGGTGGCTAAGTCTTCCTTATCCCGCCTACAAATGGTACAAAACGCTGCCACCAGGCTTCTTACTGGTACTCAAAAAAGGGAACATATTTCGCCTGTTCTTGCTTCACTTCAATGATTGCCGGTTGAATACCGTGTCAAGTTCAAGGTATTAGTATACGTGTTTAAGGGGTTAAATGGTCAGGCGCCCCAATACATTACGGACCTTCTCCACATGAAGTGTTCTAGATCTTTAAGGTCCTCGAACAAGTTGATGCTTACTATGCCACGATCTAGACTGAAATTAAAAGGGGATCGTGCTTTTTCGGTCGCTGCTCCACGTTTGTGGAATGATTTGCCGGATCATGTAAGGCTGTCTCCCACTGTTGATAGTTTTAAATCATCACTAAAGACTTATTTTTTCTCTTTGGCATTTGGTCAAATGTAATTTTATGATGCGCTTTATGATGTGTTTATGTTGTGTTTATGTTGGTTGGTGTATTTATGTATTTCATATTTTTTTTTTTTTTAACTGACTGTACAGCACTTTGGTCAGCAGTGGCTGTTTTAAACGTGCTTTATAAATAAAAGTGCCTTGCCTTGCCTTGCCTGAATACTTTCACATTTAGGGCCCTATCATACACCGGGCGCGACACAAGTGTGTTTTGCTAGTTTCAGCCCGAAGTAGTTATCATTTTCACGTCCTATCCCACGTTGTTTAAATGGCAAATGCATTCGCGCCCATTTGTTCATCCATGTGCGTGCTGGTCTGAAAACGACGTGTGTTCAGGC